TCTCGAGTAAATAATCAACTGGTTATCAGAGTCAGTGAACAATCAAACATACTGCATAAATACTGTTCTACTGTACTAATTTTAACTGAACATACTACAATCCATTGAGTATAACTTAATCAACATTAAACTTCACTATAAAACTTTTACTAAAATAATTATAACAATTAACACACAAAGAATATAATACCACTTTTTAAAAAATAATACAAATGCTCATCTTATTGTAGTTTATCTTTTGAAGTAAGAAATCACTTCTATTCTTCAAAGGTTCATAACATTTTATTCACTATATTTGGATAAATTTAAAAATAACTTCAATAAAAGCTTAAAAAATACTGGATAGATATAGGAAACTACGTTATTCATCATTATATCAGTAAATAATATTCACTTTTCATGCTGATTCATGTAATATAGTATATATAGTCTTTGGATACGCTTTTTAAAAAAGCGATATAAATATATATTGTTATAAAATACACAAAAATGATACAATATTTGTATACATGCATAATATGCAAAATAATAAAACATCATAGTAAAAAGCAGAACATAAATAAATATATTAAAACTGAAAAAAAAAGGTACAACTTGTTGAACACAACAATAAATACAAATAATACATTTCAGTTCATACTTGGGAAGCAAAAGAAACATAAAAACAAGCATAAACAGCTGCTCTTCAATTAAAAAACAAAAGTCACAAAACTTTAAAATAAGGTATAAAAATAAAAATTGTAAATAAAAACTTTGACAAATAAAATATTACACGCAAAGTCTTTTATGAATAAGTGAAGATCTGAAATATCCTAATAAATATTCTTAGGCTTGCTGCCCCACTAAATTTTTTTTAAATGCAGATACACATAAGTGCATTAAAAAAATCATTCTATAGCCTTCAAATAATTTGGAAACACAGTCAGATTTCTTACTACTACATATGATTAAGCATAGCATATACTACTGAACATGCGGAGACTTGTGAAAAACTTGGTTTTCCAACAACTTATTTGAGGTAAAACTGAAATTCCTTCAATTTAAAAATACTTATTATTTTCAGCTGTGAAAATCAATATGCAAGTTAATCATAACATATTACGATTTTTATGATTTCTATAATTTTACTCTTTGTCCAATTTGAAACAAACTTGAGTACTTGTAGTATTCCATAACACTGTATATGAAGACTTTTTCTATGCTGTTTATTACACATCATAAGCAATCATTAATGGACAGGGTTCATAGCCACATTTTAGTTAAAAAAATAAGCACCTATAAGTACTTTTCAAGCACATTTTAAGAAAAAAAAAATAAGCACCTGTCTAATTACATTATACACAACTGCATAACCTTAAAAGAAAAATTAGACTTGTAATTTAAAATATGAGAAATGCAGTATTTATTAAGAGAGAATAAGCATTACCTCAACCATGGAAAATAATTACTTTTTTTAAAATTTTAAATAACAGTTCAATTTACAGAACTAGTTTACAATGAGCGAAAAAAAAAAAAAAAAACTATGCAGAACTAAACTATATTACAAGATTTAATGATGAAATTTCAGTTCAAAATAGAGAAAATAAATAATAATAAGGCACATTTATTGTATTTGCTTGGAACCTAATAATAAATACAATTTATTTTTCCACTCATATTGATATTTAAATAATTTAAATCTAAATTCTGAACATTTTCTAAATTTTCATTGTATATCAGTTTTCCCTTAACAGATATTGCAAGCAATGTAATTTAAGTAAAAAAGAGAAACATTTCTGAAATCAGAAGACAGAAATTTGCTTCATGCAGTCATCCTTTAACAGTAAAAGCTTAACTAACCCGCATACTTGAAAATTGGCGAATATTCGGACAGTCGAGCGCAACTTGAAAAAGAGGAGCGGAGGGGGGGGGGTTGACTGTAGCTGCTCCGCTAAATAAATGCTTTTGACATTTCGATATGTGCATCATATAAAAATAAACCAATGGAACTGAAAAATATTTGGCTTAACAAGCACAGTAAAACTCTTTTAAGTGTTCAAACACAAATCTCGGACAGAAAATTATTTATCTCTGCAAAATATCGCAAACGTTATTGTGCAATACATGTGCCATAATTCTTTCCTATGTGATAGTATGCAATCGGAATCAACAGCTGCCGGTATTGGGAGAATAAAGAAACAAATAACTGGGGTGTTTTTCATTCTAATTTTCAACAAACGGCGTTAAATTTCCAGAATAGAATCATTCTTCGCTTGGGATGGTAGACCGCAGAACTTTTACTCCTATTCAATCCAGATTGGAAAAAGACACACACACACACAAAAAAAAAAAAAAAAAAAGAAGAGGTTTGTTGCTTGTTTTGCAGCGGTAACAGTTTCAACATTTGAGATTTTGCGGAGAAGGGTGAGAATCTCTCAATCTTCGTACTGTATAATGTATTGGCCAAAAAATTGAAATTATTTTGACTATTCGATTACTTTCGCTTTATTTAAGCCATTCCGAATATTATTCCTTAGAAAGCTAATCTGTGTTAAAACACAACCATTTTTGAAGTTTACTATACTTCAGTTACTGCAACTATGTTATTATAAACATTCATACATATGCTCATAATATAAGCATAATGCTTGTAATAAACACAAATATGAACTGACCAAGCAGAACGAGAATGCAAATTATTAAGATCTTGATAGAAATTCAAACATGTGTAGTATTTGAGTGGGAGGAAAAGAATGCCGAATGTACCGGAATTTTCTATTGTTTTCGCAATTCTTTGACAAATAGAACGACAGGCACCTGTCTGTGCTCTTCGTGCACATTAAAGGTTATGTTAATGCAGAGAAAGATGGAAAAGCTATTTCCAGGAATATGATTCACCATCTAACATTCCATATTAGGAAGAAAACTGTTTATTTAGTTTCGTCTTTGGTACGGGGAAAAATAGCGCATTCTTTAAAAAAAAAAAGCACTAAAAGCAAAAAATAAGCACTAAAAACAAAAAAATAAAGGCTTTAAAGAAAAAGTAAGCACCTATAAGGACCTTTATATTTTATTTTCAAATATAAGGACTTATAAGCACTTATAAGGACCACTATGAACCCTGATAGATGTAGTATGAGGAAAGAAGTACTATTTTAACATAAAATTCAAATTAAAAGTGAATAATAATATAGTTTTTCCAGTAAATGAGAGGACAAACAGCAGTTTGAATAACAGTACTATACATAGTGCATACATGAAGAAAATAAATAAAGCATTTATATTGTTGCCATTTACATCAAAAACTACTTTTAATGAAAAGTTAATGCTTAGAAAAGCTTTTTTCATTTGATATGACTGCTTTGTACTGCAAAGCAAATTTGAATGAATTAAATTTTTATCACAATTAAGTAAGCATTCATGCATGGATGTCTTTAGTTTAGTTTTAGATTTTAAATATTACAGATTAATCATATGCTGAAATTATTATGACACTAAATTACAAAATGCAAGGACAGCTGCATTGTATATACATGCAATTGTATTTCCCTTATTTTAACAATAAATGAATACTTGTCTTTAAAGAAATTCATAAAAATAGATATTTCTGTATGTACATGCCTAAAAATAACTTATTACATCTAAACATGCTTTATGCAAAATAAGCTAAAAGTTTTATGAACAACAAAAACCTTCAAACACGATTGCATGATTTTCAGGCATCTAAAATTAATTTTCATAGATAAAAATATTTAAAATATTGTTTTTCCCTTGTCTCTCAAATACATAAAACTGCAATACAAAAAGAAAGCTATATCGGCTGAAAATTTTATTAATTTAATTTTGGTTTTGTTTGTTTCATTATTTTTGTTAACACACGGGCCACAGTACCTTAATAATTCTTCTAATATGTCTACATTTGATGTCTAAAAGAATAAATATTACTTTAATTGTATTCAAAGCAAATACTTAGTTTATTAATATGAAGAAAGAATAAAAATGTGTAATACAGTTTGATAAATTTTAATATCTATAATTAAAAATTCATTTCCAATGCAAACTGTATATCAATCATTTTAGCCAAAAGCATTCACAAGAATTTGGCATCACATCAAATAAATATTAAGATAATTTATACATTAATAAAAAGTTGTTTATCGAATGAAAATAGCAACAAAAAGAAAAAAATAATAAAATCTGTTATGTATTTCTGACATATTTTATGCATATTTATTTCATACTGATTTGAATATATTTATTTTCAATGAAGAATGAATTCTTATATTGGTCATCCTCTTTCAGTGAATATAATCAGAAGAAAAATCAGAATTTTTTCTTGATATATTTCTTAAAATAAGATTAAAAAAATTAGTAAGCTTGATGTATGGTGAAGGGAAAAAAAAAAAAAAAAAAAAAAAATTAGAATCACAAGGTAAATTTTTTATAAAATAAAACAAATTTATACATACAAATATTAATTAGACAGCTGACTGGAGTATTAATAAGGTTTCTACAAACTTACAAAAACCATTTTTCTTAATGAATTAATCATCCTACTTTTTTATTAGCTTATTACTTTGACTTTCAAATTACTTTGACTTTCTAAATGATTTGTTTGATTTAAAATTGATTTTGAAGCAACAATTTTTTAAGTAAAAAATCATTCTATGCTAGCTAAATTAACTCGTTTTTTAAAGCATAAAATGAAAGTAATTTTTAATTAAAACTGAATATGGAGGGTCACTTCTGCAAAAAAAAGCTTTAATCAATTATAAGAGTTCCAAGTAATTAAAAATGCACAAAAACATGTCAATCCCCAAAATAAAAGAATGTGATACTTTGGAAATAATAGAAGTTTTTAAATTGGTCTGTTGAGTTTTCAACTTTCATACACAAAAAACTAACAAAAGAAAAAAGATATTAGTTTCATACAACTAAATGACTACTTTCAGTTTCACACCTCAAACATTTGAATAAACTTTTAACACATAACTAACAAAAGATATATCTTCTCATTCATGTTACTCACAATAAAGTTTTATTATACACATTCACAAATATACACTTTATACAACAACAAGATACATACAATTAAACTACAAAGCAAAACAGAAATCTTAAATGTTACTTCTGTTTCCATCATGACAATTTTATTTCATTTATTCTTTATTATTTCTTAAGAGTTAATCATTTCTCAAAAGCCTCATTACAACAGACAACTTGTATTTAAAATATCAAGGTTATGATACACTTTTATGAGAAATAATATTTCAGCATGGGAAATCAATCAGTAAAAAATTCCTGCACTCAATAATTGATAAATCATGCATTTAGAAGGAAGATTAAAATTCAGTACTAAAAGTCCAAAATTATCAAATTTAGGTTATATATTTCAGGCCTAATGATATTTCTTCAACTAAGAAAAACATTTCTTCTTTGAAGGAGCAATGAACTTTTACTAAATATAATTCACAAAACAACTCTAAACTATCACAGAAGTACAGTAAAATTCTGCTAATCTAGAGATCGTTTTAGAAGAAGAATCAACATTAGTGAAATTGAATTATGATTAAAGCCACAATAAGTGAAAATTTTTATACATATAAATGACTACCATCCTTCTCTCTTCGAACTTTAAGTAATATTCAAATGGAATTAATTAGTAGAATATTAAAATAAACAAATATCCCCATACAGTATTAGCATGTATATTGAGACACAACATACTTTTCTTTCATCTGTTCAAGGCATGTATGTCTAAATATTATTTTTAAATAATAGCAAGTTTAAGGTCAAAACATTATTATGCCAAATAAATTTATTTCTAGGTTACTGTTTAATTAATGCACTTAAAGAAAAAGGAAAGTCCAAAAAGAGAATACTCCAACTGACCAAGAAGTCTTAACCATCAACACAGAAGTACAAAATTTTAACAAAAAATAGAAAGCAAAATAATATCTTTTTCAGTTTTTTAAATTCATGACATTATCTGATTAATGTCTGAAGGGAATGCTATATAATTTAATGTAATTTTAATTAACTATCTCAACTACAATGAATCACAACCCATTTTGATTCAATTTAACCCACACAGCCTTTTATTAAAATTGCAGGTAAAACTGGATAAACCTGATCAACTTCAACAAAGAACAGACTGATAATAATGTACTGCAAACACCAGCATTGTTTTCTTCCGAGATTGGTCAACTCAATGCACTACATCATTACTGAAGAGAATACTATGTTTCCATGCATTAAAAATGCAGTCGAGATAAATCCATTAATTCCAGATAAATTACTAAAGGAAAAGCATATTACATAACTCATACTGCTACTAGTAAAAATATGCTATTAATACTTCCTGAAATTTTGTTCTTGTTTCAAAATTAGTTCTATACATCCTCTGTATTATCAAGAGATATATGTATTGCCATTGTATTCCGAATTACATTATCTACATAGCAATAGTTGGTGCCTAAGATATTTTTTCATGGCCTGATCTGTGCAATTAACTTATATACCAATGACCAAGGAACCTTAATTGAATACTTTTATTTTGTGCTTTTAATTTGTATATCTTTTCATTCCCCTGCATATGCATTATTTAAAAATCATAAATATCAAAGACTTTTATAAAAAACTAAATACTCGTGTCTTTTTTAACCCCTTTTTAATTCTTAGCTTTTACAACTTCCAATTCTTTTACTTCCTTTATTCCTCACATATTTTTTACATTTTTGTTTCTGCACTCACTTTTAGCTCAATGAAATGCAAAATTTTATACCTTAGACACTTCAAAAGCACAGATCTTCGCATGACGATCAGCATTAAAGTAATAGCTACAACAATCCCTGTCTGCAGAAGTAATATTTTTAAACTATTCTCAGATTTTTGAGCTTGATAATTAAAGAACATATTTTTTATTTACATAATTTTTCAACTTTGATGAATCCACAACTATATAAAACATAACTGACATTACATTTATGCAAGTACAAAATTAAAAATACCAATCCAATTCAGATAACCAGAAATAAGAAAAATTTCACAAAGAAGCTGAGTATTTTCTCTTTGTACAACCTACAAAATGTCTCATTTTTAAATATTTGATATATAGTACAGAAACTCCATTATTAACTTATAACAATTAACTAGGTTCAGATTAGCAAAGTTTTACTGCACTTAATTTTTCTTGGATATATGCTAAAATATACTACAAAATAAATTAAGTAGAACAGCTTGCTAAACATTATAGCAATTTGAAACACATACAGTATAAATAAGCATACATTTACACAAAATCAGATCTTAGTGCTCAGCACTTTGATGAGTAACAGATTACATATCATAAAGTATACAATGTTCAGCAATAAGCGTAATGAACTTTTAATACAAAATCATTGTTCAGAGAAATATAAAAACAAAACCAGATTACAAATCTGAAATAAAACAAAATTTATTAAAAATTAAAAAAAAATATATTTTAGAATATAAACTTGTATTATTGCAAGTAAAAATAAACTATTGCTAGAAAAAACAATTTAAAGTAATTTCACTTAGTTTGACTAGAAAACTTTGGTACAGAATTCAGAGCATACTTTGATACTTAAATGCTTAAAAAGAAATTGTAAACAGCAGGTTAAAAATATCCCAATACTTATTCATATTAAATTCCTGTACGCTACTGGAATTCATCATCAGAACTCAGAAGAGTGGACTTTTCATTATAATTGTGGCTAATGGTTGATATTTGGCGATGTTGAGTAGTATTATTTCGGCGTGGTTGATGATTTTCTTGAATACTACCCCAATGGCTCACAGGTGCTGCAGGAGCTGTATACTGAGTATATTGCTGATACTGAGGGTGGAAATTATGTATGGCATCATTCATTATATCTTTAGGATTCATAGTTTCCTGCACAAAAGAATATAAAATTTTCATATATTAAAAAATAAAATTATTAGTAAAATAAATCATCAAAACTTGAGACTTTAAAAAATACACTCAATTTTTCAGATAAATATTAATGTTTAAAGACATATACTAAAATGAGAATTACCACAAAGGATTAAACAGAAACAAGAAACTTTTCCCTGCAAACATGTTTCAATAGTATTATTATGAATAGTACAATACTGAATTTCATTGCTATCATGAAAAAAAAAAAAAAAAAAAAGTTAATATAAAGTATGCTGGGTAAAATTTTACTAAACTTTTTATCAGAAAGCTTTACACATATATGTTCTGTGTATTATTGCATAATCATGTATATTTTCTTTCTTCCCTAATCAATTCTAAAGGATAAATTACATATATGAACTAGATACCATAGATAAACTATCATAACTTCCAGTTTTGTGATTAATTGATGTTCATAATGAATAAATCGCTCAATCAGTTTTGCACATGTGGGAGTTAATTATTGAATTCTGTCATACATTCTTCTTGACGTGGGCTCTGGATATATATTTACTACTTAACATGGACGTGAACGTAATGTGGGCATCTCATACAATATACATTTAACCCATTAAGCGCCAAAACTATAAGGAATGTTTCTTTTCTCATGAAAATAATAACAAATATTAAATTAAGCATTTCTAACATAAATTTACATTGAAAATTAAAAAAAAAATGCTCTTACCTGTGGAAAAAGCAAATGTTGCGTTTGCGCAATGTCAGCGGAAGTAAGTAGGATTGTACTCGTGTGATGTTTCTTTTGAGTGGAGCGCAGGATTACTTTTTAGCTGTATAACGTTTTATAAATCTACAAATCACTTTACTTGTAATTAATTTAATATTAAAATATACATTGCATTTCTTTTACAAATACAGATTATTTCATTTGAAAGATCCAAGCATGAAAAGCTTCATTACAATCATGATGTAAAGCTACATTACATACTTTGCATCTATAAACAGTCTGGCTATGGTATTCTTTACAACAAAGTCTTTTGTTATCAACGGACTTTACGATAAAATGACTACCATCTCCATGCAATGGTTTTTGAATGCTCAATTTACTAGGTCTTCCTATTGCTGATCTATTTCTGGCTAATTCTACACTCTCAATAGGAGTTTGCAAAAGGAATAATGCATTCTCGCGTATGAAATCTAAAAGAGACTTTATATTTCCAGTAGTAAAAAGTGGTGATATTAAGTTTAGATACGGTCTCACCTCATATAATTTATCAGTATTGTCAATTTGACTATTGTCAAATGCAAATTCTGCTTCATATTCCTGTACTGCAAACGTGATATCGATTCTCGTACAACAGGAACAGAAATGTCCTTATCAAAAGACCAATACATTTTTTCTTGAGGTAAAGAATGATATCCTGTAAGCAATAATATTCAATAAATCTTCTCATATAGGCTTCAGATGCAATAAATTCTGGATTTTTTTTTTTTTTTTTTTTTTTTTTTTTTTTGCTGAGCATATATATTTGTCTGTTCAACGAGAAGAGAGTAAATGTCTAAACCAAAAAGAAAATCGAAAATCTGTGCACTAGTTTTACCTTGTGTTTTGTCTTTTATAATTTCTCTTCTATCTCTTTCTTCATGTTCTTCCTGAGACATAACTAACAGTTCCTTTTCTTATCCACTTCAAGATTTCAGTCTTCTGCTTTTTAAACTTTTTAGTATGATTATAACTGCTTTTAGAAGGCTGAAACTTACTTCTGACGTGAATTTCAACTTCCCCAGCAGTATCATTTGGTAAAATATCATTATCATTATTTAAAACAATGCCATTCCTTTCTTCTTCGTAACTAGCCTGTGCAATTTCTGAGCGATAACAACAATATCAATTTCATTCTGGTCATTATTAACATTATCATCATCTGTTTCTTCATCAAAAAATCTTTGAAGGGCTTCTTCTAATGAAAGATACCTCGTTCTAGGCATTTTTAAACCACCAGAACATGAACCAGAACATCGAAAGGAATGAGTGAAAAAGGAGATTGACTACCCGTTTCCTGCTGACGTTGCGTCCGTGCAACACCTGTTTTCCCTACCTTCCCAACACAAATATAAACATCTGACTGATGTAATGTTCTGATAAACACTGACCTTGACTAAAAATAGATCACTCATAAAGACAGCGATTCTTTCGTTAAATATTTTCAGCAAAAATACCCTGTCGAAAATTTTGCTTAAAGTATGAGATTAATTATTATAAACAAAATGATTGTTGAAGGGAAATATTTTTTTACAGAAATAATCTTCATGATATTCCCTACACAAAATCATCTGCTGGTATAAAATATCTTAGGTAGTTATATTTATATACACATTTATTTTGACGGTTGTGTCAATGCAACACCAGCGGCTAATGCGTTAAGCTCACTCTCCAAGGATGCAGCGAAACAGAGCCACTGAACATATGTGTTCTGAAGAGCAGAAATTTATGAATTTAGCTAAAGGAAAATCACAAGTTGAAATAGCCAATTCTGAAAAAATTGAAGTTTCTGTCACAGGAGACATTGTTTTGAATCCAGTCAGAGAATGTGGGAAAGATGCTATTCAACTAGCAAATGTTCTGTATGTCCCTAAGCTTGATGGTAACCTTCTTTCAGTAGGAAGAAAAGGGAATGGCTGTTTCCTTTGAGAGGGGCAAAGCAATCATAAAAGATCCAAGACAATCCGCACTGCACATAGGTATGGAAGATTATACAAAATTGAAGAGAAGCAAATGCACAAAATATACCTTTCCAGACATGAAGAAATTATGCATCAAAGATTAGGACATTTCCCCCATGATGGAGTTAAGAAACTTATCAAAAAGAGATGATTCGAATATAATGTATGAAGAAATCCAAGAAAATGTGACTGTTTTCTCAACATGTGATTTGGGGAAAATGGAGAAGATTCTATTTCCCAAGGAAAAGAGTTCCCATAGTTCCCCAAACATTCAACTAGATTACTTCAGTTGATACATACTGGCATAATTGGACCCATCACACCGACATCAAAAGGTGAATCAAAGTTTGTCATTACCTTTATTCATGATTATTCAAGGTATGCTGTGGTTAAAACTATGAAATCTAAAGATCAAGTCCTTGAAAAATTCATCGAATATACAACAAAGTGTTGAAAATTTCCATGGACTCAAAAAATCATTACTCTTAAAGTGACAATGGAGGGGAATATGTCAACAATGAATTTGATGATTTCCTAACTAAAAATGGAATAACAAGATAGCTCACAGTTCGCTGGACACCACAACAAAATGGAGTTGCAGAAAAAATGAACCATACTCTATTTGATATGACTAAATGTCTTCTCCTAGATTCCAACATCCCACAAGAATTGTGGGCAGATGCTGTGACTGCTGCCTGTTACTTGCGCTACAAGTGTCCATCAAAAGCTACCAAAGGAAACATTTGAAGAACTCTGACCAAGAAGCCTGTGCAAATTAGTCACCTGGAGAATATTTGGCTGTCGAGTTTTTGCTCAAATTGATAAAATGCTGCAGAAAGGAAAGCTAGGGAAGCATGCTCAAGAATTTGTCTTTATAGGATATCCTGAAGGTGTGAAAGGATACAAACTTTGGAATGCAGAGGAAGATAAGTTTTTAGTGAGCAAAAATGTTAAATTTAATGAGACTGTCTTTCCATTGAGGAGAAGCCAGACAGCTACTCAAGCAAAGAAGAAAAAATGAAGTTACCTTTAGCTTAAATCATAAGTACAATTCTGACAGTGAGTAAATGTTGTTCCATTAGAATACCCATAAATTGCACCACCACAGGAGTCGAAGATATTGAAGCCCCATTAAATGACACAGCAGAAGAAATTGAAGACACAGAATCAGCATTACTGGGAGATTCTGATAGTAGTAAGGAAAACCCTATTGGAAACAGAAAAAGGCACTAGAGAAAGGAGACCTAAGACTTAATATGGGGATCCAGTGTTATGTAAAGCTGTTTGTAAAGAACAACCTGCCATCAAAATCTGTAAGAACCCACAAGTGTAAAGGAAGCAATGAATTTTGATTTATTATTTTATTTATTTACCTACAGATGTATTTAAGGATTTTGCAATAGATTCCTCCATCAGTGTATTTTCTTTGTTACCAACGATTTATCTTTAGAAACATACATAGCTATTCAAGTATTTGTTTGGAGTCTTCATTCCATATAGAAGTAATTATTAAAACTTTTCCAATTAATAATCGTGCTTATTTTGAACTTGAGAAATTTTAATATCGTGCATTTTGCAATGTTTTGAATTATGGAATAGGAATATTGCTCTTCGGAAAGCATAAAAACGTATCTATCAATCCATACATACATACAAACATTTCTTGAAACAAAAATCTGAAAGCTTTCAGATTTAACATTACGCCCAAAGGGGTCTTTTTTAATGTTTTGTGTGCTGCTTTTATTTATTAAATCTCATGTTCTTCACATTTAAGCCATAAAATTCAATTCAACAGCAATAACGCAAAATTATTTTTAAATGAGCATATCTTTAGAATTTCCGATACACAGTCTCGTACGCCGGACACAATTTTTTTAAATTTAAATATTACACAGGGTTCTAATATTTGGTGGCAACAATTTGAAAGGTTAACCAACATTTATAGTGAACCAATGCAAAATGCCAAAATAAAATTAATAGCCCTTTGGGCTAAAAACTAATATTCATAAATTTTTTAACTTAATTAACCAATTACTACTATTTTAAATTACAGTTACTTCAACATAAATTCAGTAATCTAAATCATCTAAAAGATGTAACATTCATTTAACTTTTCTTTAAATTTAATCTTTAATCTTTCACATCATCATAATCATATATGAAAAACAAATTAATTATTAAAATTAGACATTATACTTAAGAAAATCCTCGCTAAATAATAAATTATTTTACATAATGTTAGAAAAAAATAAAAAGTTTAGTATTTTAGCTCT